TCCGATTGCTCCTGAGGTGACTCCTGCTGCGAGGGTTGTTCGGTGGTTGGTCCTGCTTCCTGGGAAGGCACGCCCGGCTCGCCTTCGCTGCCTGGCATGGCTTTGTGGTTGATGTGATTGTGTTCCCCCTCTGCTGTCGCACGTCAGGAAGAGAGTGGGAGGGAAGGGAGGGCCTTGCTTGCGACAACAACAAAAGCCGTGGAGATGGACGCGCCTCCTATGTTGTGTGGTGTGGTGTGGTGTGGATGGGCTCGTCGCTCCTCCTTTTCTCGATCACCGCCGCCGTCGTCGTGCGTCGTCAACGAGCAGCAGTTTTAAACACCACAAAATGAAAGGTTGGTCAGTTTTTTGGTGAAACAAGAATAACGTGTTTTTGAACGTGGCGATTTTTTTTTTCGTGGCAAACGCGCTGCTTGCACAGCAACGCCGGCGAGCAGCTTGTGTGGCACCAGCAGCTGTGGCTGCGTGTGGGCTTGGCCACGATGCGGATGCGACAGTGACATGTGACGACAGGCAAGCAGAGCAAGCAAGCCCAGTGGCGAAACTTGTTGCTCGCTTTTGCGCAGTGATGAGGCAGGCTGCTGGGCAACGCGTGCTGTTGGCACGGGCAGCGCCAAGGGAGTGGTTTGTGGGCCCACTGATTGGCGGCTGGTGTCATGTTCACGCGCTGGTTGCGGGCAGAGGTTGCAGGGCAAACAGCCGTGTTGGCGGTGACGGTGTCAGTGCACTTCGTGTCTCTTGTGCCTGGTACCATCCACCAACACGAAGCACAACAGCAACTCCCCACGCAGCAAGTTTATGCTTCCATTGCCTGCCTTTGCAGAAGGCGAAGAACAAAGGAAGGCGGGGCACGAAGTGGTGTCAAAGCGAGAGCAAACCGCGAGGCTAACAAGCACAAAAGTACAAGAACACAACAACACAAGAGCACAAGAGCACAAGCACGCGCACGTTTGGTTGGTTGAGTTTGATCGCGGGATCGAGTGAGGGCATTTTCCTCATCCCTGTTCTCTCGACAACCACCTCGCCGCTGATCCCACTCGGCCGTCGCGTCTTTGTTTCTCTGACCATTGACGACTAGCCAAGCCACCGACAATGAGGGCTTCCTTGGCTGTCGCCCTTCTCTGCCTCGCCATCGCTGGTGCGTTGCGCACGACAAGTTGTGCGTGCGTGCAGTCTCCTTGCTGCTTGTTTGTGTGTGAAAAAGGGTCCAAGTGCTCAACGCGTGTGGAAGCGTGATGGAAAGGGTCTTGCTCGTGTGTTTGTGCGTCGATGTGCTGTTGCATTACTTCTGGTTGGTGTCTTGTTTGCCTCAAACACTACTTGAATGGGAAGAACACTCACGAATGTCAGCGCCAAACAAACGCTGTTCAATCAACCACATGTGCATCGACAGGCACCACGAGGGCCAGCCGCATGTGCGGGTACTTTGACCCTGTGCGCGACAACGCCGGTGAGGTGATTGACTGCAGCCGCAACGGCCACGCTTGCCCGAGCAACAGCTTCTGCGCTTTTGACGAGGTGTGCTGCCCTGAGGAGTCACGCCAGCAGCCATGCGGCGGCTACGAGCCGACGCGCGACCACACTGGCTCTGAGATTGTGTGCAGCCGGGGAGGCCACGCTTGCCCAGCTGACTCGTTCTGCGGCATGCACGAGCTGTGCTGCCCTGAGCGCCCTGCCTCCACCACGACGCGTGCAGCGACGACGACGCGTGCGCCCACGACCACCACCGCCACCACGCGTGCGCCCACGACGACGACGACGGCAGCGCCACGCACCACGACGGCAGGCCCTAGCACGAGCCGCGTGTGGCCATCCCCGCGCGCCGACCACTGCGGCAACTCCCGCCTGACCCTGGACCACACTGGCCGGTACGTGTTCTGCGAGGCCGAGGGTGGCTGGGCTTGCCCCGGTACCTCTGTGTGCTACAAGGGCTTCTGCTGCGACAGCCGCCCGGACCCCACCACAACCACCACCACACGCGCCACCACGACGACGCGTGCGCCCACCACGACGACGGCAGCGCCACGCACCACGACCCGCCGGGAGTCTCGCATGTGCGGGTACTTTGACCCTGTGCGCGACAACGCCGGTGAGGTGATTGACTGCAGCCGCAACGGCCACGCTTGCCCGAGCAACAGCTTCTGCGCTTTTGACGAGGTGTGCTGCCCTGAGGAGTCACGCCAGCAGCCATGCGGCGGCTACGAGCCGACGCGCGACCACACTGGCTCTGAGATTGTGTGCAGCCGGGGAGGCCACGCTTGCCCAGCTGACTCGTTCTGCGGCATGCACGAGCTGTGCTGCCCTGAGCGCCCTGCCTCCACCACGACGCGTGCAGCGACGACGACGCGTGCGCCCACGACCACCACCGCCACCACGCGTGCGCCCACGACGACGACGACGGCAGCGCCACGCACCACGACGGCAGGCCCTAGCACGAGCCGCGTGTGGCCATCCCCGCGCGCCGACCACTGCGGCAACTCCCGCCTGACCCTGGACCACACTGGCCGGTACATTTTCTGTGCACAGGACGGCGGCTGGGCTTGCCCGTCTGGCTCGTCGTGCGTGCGCGACTTCTGCTGTGATGGGGCACCGTCTGATGCCACGACCACACCCAGGGCTACTACCACGACTCGTACCGCCACCACGACGCGCGTTGCATCCACCACCACAACTGGCAACGGCCCGCGTCGCGGCCACTGTGGTGTGGAGACGCTCATCAAGGATCCCACCGGCAACAACGTGTTCTGCGGCGTTGGCGGCTGGGCATGCCCTGCCAACTCGGAATGCGTCCGTGACTACTGCTGCTCCACTGACCTCTCTGGCCTGTAAGTTTGTGTCTACCGCGGGTACCCGCGTCTGTGCTGTGTACACATGTAGTGTTGTGTTACAGTCAGAGCGTGTCGCTGGCGTTGTGTTCATTTTGCACATTTCTAGGCTCTGCTGTGCCCGTGTACCATGGTACACCACCATGCCACACGCAGCTCACCACGATGCTTGTTGTGTGATGTTCCTTTGTTTTGTGTTGTGCGCCTTTGCCTTCCATGTTTGCACGACATCAGCCGCTCCGGCGATCCCCTCCCCGTGCAGGACACGGGTGTCGTGTGCCCTGCCGCCCGCCCCTGCGTGTGCGACGCTGGTCACACCGTCAACTGGGACTCGATTGCTGACTGCCCCGTGTGCGTGTGTGTGCCGACCTCTGAGGCGACAACGACGGAGACGCCGCTCGACTGCCGCCAGCAAGGCCCGCGCGACGGCGTGTGGGAGTACGGCCCCTGGTCTGAGTGGTCCAACGAGTGCCCACGCGAGTACCGTTTCCGCGCCACCACCGGCTGCACGGCCACATGCGGCGGCTCGTGCGGCGAGCCCGACCAGGTGGAGGGCCGCTACGTCCCCTGCGACTTCTCTGCCAGCAACGTGCAGGCGCAGGGCGGTGACTCGTCATCGTCGTCATCATCCGCTGGCAGCGCCGCGGGCTCCACCCAGGCTGTTGTTGCTGTTGTGTGCGCTGTTGGTTTGGTGTGTGTCGCCATTGTTGCCGCCGTGCGCATGCGCTCTGCGCGCCGCACCAAGAAGGCGAAGATGGAGGCTGCCGAGGGCCTGCAGTACGACGAGGATGTGTTCCAGGAGGAGGCTGTGCACACGATGACCCTGCGATCCACCAGCGACGACGTTGCGGAGGATTTGGAGGTTGAGGAGGACGATGCTGAGGACGCCACCCTCGATGCTGAGGCGTGAGCCCTCACAGACACCCATCTGCTGATGGCGTGACTTTGTTGTTTGTTTCCTTTCTTCTTGGCATGCGTTTGTATGTGTATGTATGTGTGTGTGTATGTGTGTATGTGTGTATGTGTGTGTGTGTGGGGGGGGGGGGGGGTTGGGTCTGGTGTTGCGTGCATCCTTTTGTCTCTACGACCCATGTGCTTTCACTTTGTTCTTCCGGGGGTTGATGGAGGCTTTGTGGTTTTGCTCTCTCTTTCACTTGTGCACAACTCGTGTTGCTGTTCTCCAAGCAAGTACACCTACGATTGCATGCTTCATGAATTGAATGCGGGGGTGGGGTGCGCAACCACAACCATAACACCACAACAACGACGACACACACACACACACACACACACACACACACAGACACACAGACACACACACACACACACACACACACACACACACAGCAAAGGAGCAGTTGCGAAATTGGTGCTGCTTTTGCTGACACACGAATCGCCAGAAGCAACAGCGATGATGACGATGATGGCTGTAGTGTGATTGATGGTTGCACAAGCGTGCTTGTGCTTGCTGCTGCACAACGAAGGGGGAAGGGGACAAGTGCAGGATGGACGAACAAGGTGTCATCACGCCACAACGCCAATCGCCGCCAGCTTGCTGGCTTGCTTGCGTTTCTTCTTTTGTCTTCTTCACTTGTTCCTCTGTGGCTTGTTGCTTGCATCGCCGCTGATGCACCTGCCGTGGCGGCCGCTGTGCAGATTGCCATTCTCTCGACCTCTGTTGTGGAGATATACGCAGCACCACCAGCCCCACACATCTGCCCATTGTGTGAAGGGGCAAACCATGGATGAGAACGTAGCTCAAGTGGCAGCACAGCAACACAGCTCTGCCCAGAAGCTGGACGTTGCCGTGCTGTTGGCAGACCCCAACGTTTACGACCCTGGATGGACGCCTCACGACGACGAAGACTTGGCTGGCTTGAAGGAGGTAGGGTGTGCGTTGTGTTGTGTTGTGTTGTGTTGTGTTTGTGTTGTGATGTGTTGACTTTGTGTCGTGTTGTGTCGTGTTTGTGTTTGTGTTGTGTTTGTGTGCGCATCTGTACCCACCCACCCGCTTACACACGTGCGCCGTTTCGTTCATGCTCTGGTGCGCGTGCCGTCCTATCTCACCAGGCGCTGGAGAACATCCCTGATGTGCGCATCAGCTATCTCAACGACCACGCGTCTCTCATTTCCACCTTCCAAACTCGACCTCCTGCATTCATCTTCAACCTGTACGTTGCGTTGCGCTCTCATGCGCTGCGCTGCGATTTGGCTTTTGTGTTGCGCCTGGTGTATGGCACATTGCATCGTCGTATCTTGGTGCGAGGCTAACACCTGGTCCAACTCACCCGCCGTGCCAGGTGCGATGAAGGGTTCATGAACGTGAACGAGACAGAGCCACACCTGCCCGCCCTCATGGAAGTCTTCAACATCCCCTTCACAGGTGTGAATCACATATATTTCAGTGTGCCCTCCCCCACTCGGCATGTGTCGTTACCTTTGCTGCTGTCATCTCACGAGCACAACACACACGCACACACACACATGCACATGCACACACATGCACCTGCACATACACACACACACACACATGATCTTGAATGTGGCAGGGACCTCTGTGCATGGGTTGACCATCTGTCGTGACAAGGCGCTTGTTCGCACCATCGCTGAGGTGTGGCGCAGCTTCTGTGTCCGGTAGCAAGCGTAGTTACGTGGCAGATTCATCGGGCTGTATGCTTCTTTGCAGGGAAAGTCCTCACATGTGTGTGTGCGTGCGTGCGTTTCGCCCTTGGCAGCAAGCTGGCGTCCCCGTTCCAAAAGAAGTGGTTGTTCCATTCGCCGAGGGAACACGTACGTGGGTGGAGCCGCAATGTGTGAGAGTTGTATGCCCACGAAATACCGAACACGTTGCCAAGTGCACGCCGCGTTTGTGCACAAAGCCCACGTTATACCTCACCATGAGTTGCGTCGTGTGCGGGACACCCGTTGTCACTTGGCAGCGCCCACGGATGATCAGCTCTCTACCGCAGCCGCCGCTGTTGGATACCCATGCATTGTAAGTTGTTTGTGTGTGTGTGCGTGCGTGCCTGCATGTGTGTGTGTGTGTGCGTGTGTGTGTGTTTGTGTGTGTGCGTGCGTGCATGTGTGTGTGTGTGTGCGTGCGTGCGTGCGTGCATGTGTGTGTATGTGTCTTGTTTCCGTCTCCTTCTCGTTTTCTTTACCCCCCCCCCTCTCAAACCCCTCCATCTCTCGGTCTCTCACCTCAATCAATGCACCTCCGCCACGTCTCCTGCCGTGCGCGTTGATGTTTCCAGGTGAAGCCCCGCTCCTCGGACGGCAGCACGGGCATCACGCAGCAGTGCGTCGCCCACGATCTACAGCAGCTGCGGGGAGCCATCGATGCTGCCATGGCCGAGATCAAGCAGGTGGGCTGTGTCATGTGTGCTGTGTCATGTTGTGCGTTGTGTGTTGTGTTGTGTTGTTGTGTTGCAATTAAGTGGATTGCTCGGCCGATGGGTCATTGACCTGTCATTCTTTTATCACATGCTGCACAGGACATGCTGGTGCAAACGTTTCTCCCTGGCCGCGAGTTCACTGTTTCCTGGTGAGTGGTCAACGGGCTACACCAATCTACCCCGCCCAACAGCACATGCGAACAAACATGCACATGCAAACATTTGCACACACGCGCACATGTACAAAGAGAAAGCTGCAAATCACCACCTCCACCACTCCTTTGCAGTGTCGGTAACCCATCGACTGGCGACTTTGAGGTTCTGCCGCTGCTGGAAATCGACTATTCGCATCTCAAGGGGGATGGCCCACGTGTGCAGCTCTTCGGTACCACAAGGACAAGAGAAGGGAGAGAGTGCGCGCATGTGTGTGAATGTGGGGAGGGGGGAGGTATGGGTGTGTTGGATGTTACGGTATTGATAATCTGCACCCGGTTTGCGTGCCATCGTTTATCAGACGGCAAACGCGGCCTAATTGACGACTACTGGACTCAAGTCACACACACGCATGGACACGTCGATACCGCCGTGCTCGCTGCTCTCCACACCTGGTGCAGCAAGGTCTGACACGCGTGTGTGTGCGTGTGCGTGGTGTGTGTGTGTGTGTGTGTGTGCGCGCGCGTGTGTGTATGTGTGATGCACAATTCACGTGGTTTTGTTTTGGATGTGTCTTCTGCAGTTGTTTGAGGAGCTGCAGCTGAAAGATTACTGCCGCATGGACTTTCGAATGGACGCACACGGCGACATGCACCTGCTCGACGTCAACCCAAACAACTGGATTGGAGGCACGTTTGCACACACACACACACACACACACACACACACACACACACACACACACACACACACACACACACACAGATACACACACACGCGCGCGCGCGCAGTATGTGGCATGTGACATCACTGTTGCGCATTGTCTCATCACATGCCACGACAACCTTTACCCGACCTCTGTTTGCGCATCAGGCAAATTCCGGCGGTCTGGGGAGCTGGCCGGCATGACGTGGCCGCAGCTGCTTCGTCGTGTCATCGACACCACACGACGAAGGTGTTGTTCCATTCCATGCTGGGCGCTGCTGCCACCTTGCTCTCTGCCATGCAAGCGTGCTCATGGTGTGTGTGTGGTGTGTGTTGTGTGTGTGTGTGTGTGTGTGTGTGACTGTACGTTGCCAGGTTTGGGCTCCCGCTTGGTGTTGACACGCCACCGCGCGCGTCGGAAACGAGTGTGGACACGGCAAGCTGTGAAGCGATTGTTGCGCGCATCACGTCGTCGGCGTCGTTCCCGGCTGCGCTGATCACAAGCGCGCTGCAGCGGTTTGCGCACCACCCACGCCAGCTCAGCGCCATCATGCAAGGTACGATCCACGGGCCTTTGGAAGTGGTGGGTTGGTTGGTTGGTTGGTTGGTTGGTTGGTTGGTTGGTTGGTTGGTTGGTTGGTTGGTTGGTGAGTTGGTTGGTGGGTTGGTTGCGCTGGATGACGGCGATGAATCGCTCACGTCACCCCTTATGTGTACACTGCAGCTGCTGCTGATGCCGCCGTTGCTGCAAACGGAACGCACCAACGCTTCTCAGCGCCCGTCCCTCGCGCCGATCCCGTGAAGAAGCGAACGATGCACGGCGACACGCGCACCGACGAATACACGTGGATGCATGACGTGGACAGCGACGAATTCCAGGACCACATTGATGCGGAGTGCACCTACTCTGAGCAGGTAGGCACCGCAATCGAGCGGGCGAACGTAGAGTGGGAATGCGCTGATATGTTTGGATCAACTGATGTGGTCTTGAAACACGCACACACACACACACACACACACACACACACACACACACACACACACACACACACACACACACACACACACACACCACTGACAGTTGATGGCGCATCGGGAGCCGCTCATCGAGCGCATTGCAAAGGAGCTCAAGTGAGATGCAACGCATGCGGCGGCATCTTGCTTGTCATTCTTGTTGACCAGCATCGAGAGATGTGCCATGCCATGTGTGTGGCTGTGGGTGTGGGTGTGGGTGTGGGTGTGCACTCACCTGCCTCCCGGCTTCATCTTCATGGTCGTCCTGGCAGGGAACGATCACAGTTTTCAAAGCCGCTCAAGGTGGAGGCGCACGGCTTTGCGTACTGCACCATCTGCCCGCCCGAATGCGTCTACCCATTGCATTGCAGGTGTGTGGACTCGCTTCTGCAAGTTTATTGTCCTTTTGTGCGTGCGTGTGTGTGTGTGTGTGTGTGTGTGTGTGTGTGTGTGTGTAGGTGAATGCCTGCTCTCTTTGTAGCACCTCTCCATTGCGTCACATTCGTGCGCCCATCTTGGGACTGCTGCAGGGTGCGCGTGCGGAATCACGCGACGGACTCTGCGCCGCTGATTGACCGAATCCGCGCCGCAATGCGCGAACCAGATGACGACGTTGGCGACGGCGACGACGATGGCGTGAAGGACGGCGTGCAGTTGATTGAGAAGAGTGATGTGCTTGTTCTGTTGGACGAAAATGAGCTGGCGCAGGGCCACGACGTGTTTGCCGTTGGCAACGTCGTCATCAGCCCAACAGGCGACCTCATCGCATTCACGGTGTGGGATATGTGGTGTGATGTGTGTTGATTTGTGTGTGATGCGTGCGTGTGTGTGTGTGTGTGTGTGTGTAATGCGTGTGTGTGTGTGTGTGTGTGTGTGTCGTGTGTGTCGTGTGTGTGGTATGCTTGTATGTCGTGTAGTTGTGTGGTGCCGGCAAGTGTTGGTTGGGGGACATTGCTGAAGAGGAGAAGGCGACCGTTGTAAGATTGTGCGTGACAGGTGGTTGGTTTGGTTGCTGTCACGCTTGATCTCATCCTTTTGTTTCCTTTGCCATTTGCACGCTCCAGGTGGACGTGACTGGTGACGAGACGTACGCGCTGTATGTGCGCGACATTGCGACCCAGTCTGTCGTGCGCACCATTGGTGGTGTGTTTGGCCGATTTGACTTCGCAGCATGCGGGCGCCGCATCGTGTACGTGTGTTCGGGGCCCGACGACACCTCCATGGGATCGCGCGTGTGTCTGCACAACCTAGACGCGCCCAAAGAGCAGCAGGTGCGATGGGCCTCTTGCGCTGTAGGTGTGTGTGTGTGTATGTGTGTGTGATTGCGGGCAGACAATCGTCAAACAGATGTTAGCGTCTCGCACAATCTCAATTTGAGCTGTGGTTGCCAGGATGTGGTTCTGTACGAGGAGGAAGACTCAGCGTTCCAGGTGACAATTGACACCACGTCGAGTCGGGAGCTGTTTCTCATCACGGCGTCATCGCAGAGCACATCGGAGGTCCACTTCATGCCAACGGCCGTCACCCAGGACACCAAGGTCGGCTCGCAATCCTGCGCTGCATATGTCACACGCAGCTTGCGCGGCACAATCGCAATCGCAATCGCAATCTCACATCTTTCTTCGCCCCATCTTTTCACCTCGCCTGCTTGCTCGCTTGTATGTGTGTGTGTGTGTGTGTGCGTGTGTGTGTGTATGTGTGTGTGTGTGCGTGCAGCCCAAGGTGGTGCTGCAAAGACGCGAAGGCGTTGAATACTCCGTCGATCATATGGGCGATCACGTCTACGTGTGCACAAATGAAGGCGGTGCAGACAACTTCAAGGTACCGCATGAAGGACAAGTTGTATGCGTGTGTGTGAGATACTCACACACACACACTCTCTCTCTCTCTCGCGCGCGCTCCCCCTTCCTGTCTCTTGTTCCCATCCTTGCGCTGACTTGCTCTGTTATTTGTGTGGCTGCCCTCGTCTGTGCCGCTGCTCAGGTGCTGGCGACAACGTTGGCGACGTGTTCCGATCCTGCGGCCTACTCGCTTGTCCTGCAGGACCGCGCGTTTGTGAAGGTGAGCAGTCGACGCTGTTATGTTACTTGCTTGCTTGACATGTGAACGTGAACATGTGATATTACGTGTTTATGTGTGAACTAGTGTGCGTTGAGAATCGCTTTGTAATCACCTCGTCCATGCATGATCACCTCATCCATGCGTGGTGGTGTGCACTGGTGCAGATTGAGGCCATCGAGGCGTTTGCAGACTTCATCGTGGCCTTTGAGCGAAGTCACGGCGACAAGCACATCCGCGTGATGCGTCGCAATGGCGTCAACTGCCCGCTTGACCACTACATCCACTTCCCGTCACGTCTGCACTCACAGTGGCGGCGCAGCGAGGGCCTGGACCCCATCGTCGGGCAGAAGCTGACCGTGTCCATGCACCACCGCGACCCCAATGTCCTCTCCTTCTTCTACTCCTCCCTGCGTCTGCCCACGGAACTGAGTACGTGAGCGGCTGTTGATGGCGTGAGTGCAAGGAGTGGGCCCGGGGGGAGGGGGGGCAATGGGTGAGAGCAAACTTGGCTTCCTTGCCTGAATGGCCGTCATTGACACATGCATGTGCGTTGTGTGCGTGTGTGTGTGTGTGTGTGTGTGTGTGTGTGTGTGTGTGTGTGTGTGTGTGTGTGTGTGTGTGTGTGTGTGTGTGTGTGTGTGTGTGT